CTGAAGCTTTGTTTTTGTGTTTGTTTGATGAAAGAGAATTTAATAAAAATAGTTATAAAAAACAGAAGTTGCACATTTGAGTTTCTTATATGACATATGACAGCATATTAGATCTGCTTCTAAAAAAAATATTACTTTATTAAAATTTGTGTTAACTTATAACGTGAACATATAATGTTTGCAAATTTGATATTTGTCATATAATTAGCATTTGTTATTCTTAATGATATTTCACTGATATTATAAATAATCAATGGTAATTTAGATAGAAACAAAAGTAAATAAAAAATTCTTAAATAGAAATAAAAAAGTTTCTCGTAGAACGATATACATAAGCTGGGTAAAGACCAATTACATGGTTTTTATACTACTATTACACATGGCACTACTCGATCAATTATATTTTTCACTTAAGTTCTTAATAAATAAAAAGATCTTGATAACATATTGAGTTGTTCTTAGAGCATCAGCAATGGAGAGTCTCACATGGGAACTCTTTCAATCTTTTTTATTATTAAAAAAAAAATTTAAATAAATAAATAGAAAATTGACCAATAATATAATGACACGTGGCAAAAGAAGGGGAAGAGTCGACTCCTGCACCTCTATGCAGAAAATCGATTCTATCTAAAAACTTCTCCACCTCACTTATTTTTTATTTTTTTTCTTTTTTAAAAAAAATCTAAGAATTGTAATGAATCTCTCCATTACAGCTACTCTTTCAAAAAAAAAAATTATGATTCTTTACTGTTTCATCCTTTGAAGTTTTTTCGAAAAAATCAACATAGTCAGTAGTACGAGATCCGCTTGTGGAGGCTTCGCCCTGCCCAAAGAACCTCCTGAAATCCTTCAGCTTCAGTTTCAGGTTTTTCATTTCGGTCTTTTTCTTGGTGGCACTTACCGCTTGTGGCATTTTGAAACGTTCTATTGTTTTTTTTTTCTTTAACTGTCTTTATTATTTTTGTTTAATTTAGTTGAATTTTTTTTTGACTATAATTTTTCATTTGTAAATATATAGAATAAAAATAAGACACATGTCATATTATAAAATATGATGTGGTAACATATCAAAACTCCTTCTGAAAAAAAATATTTGAAAATCATTTAGCTTCCGATGTCTTTAAACTAAATTTCTCTTTTAATTTCTTTTCTTTGCACAAAATATTATTTAATAGTATTTCATTTCAAGTTTTTACTTTCTCACATTATAAAGCTTGAATAAGCTTCTTTTGTAAATGCTTCCAAGCAGCTCGAACGTAAATCATATATTATATAAGATTTGTTTTGTATTATATTTAACTGTCTCTATTATTTTTGTTTAATTTAGTTAGATTTTTTATTCTGTTTTGTTGGCCATTGTTTCTTTTAATTGTAAATATATAAAATGAAGGTATGATATATGTTATAGTATGAATTGTCATATGACATTATAACAAAGCTCCTTCTCTAAAAAAAACCTTATCATATTATATAATGTTTTTTTAGTTTATTTACATTTTTTATTCTTTTGACCATTTTTTCTTTCAATTGTAAATATGTATAATGAAGGTATGACACATTTTAAACTATGAAGTTATGTGGCAGTATATCCAAGCTCATTTTATAAAAAAATCTTATTATATTGTATAAGATTTATGTTTTTTATTACATTTAATTGTCTTTATTTTAAGCATATGAAAGCTTCTTCTTAAAAACTCTTACTTTATTAAAATAGATTGCTCTTGTCTCTATATAAATCTATGTATCCTAAAATATTATTTTCATAAAAAACTGATATTAATTTAATTAAATATTTTTGTGTTTTTACTCTCGTCAATATATTATTCCAATTACGGATTTCAAGTGCGTTTTTGAAAAACCGCTTTTAAATTACTAATCATTTGCGTTTTTTTACAAAAAAATAATTATATTTACATTTTTCAAATTAGGTCATTATCCAGCGGATCGCACATTTTTCTCTACCAACTGATTACCCAACGGTCCAATGAAAACCACACTAGATAAATGTTTTTTCTTTAATTTATAGTAATATTTTATTAATTAATTGTTAACATAAATAGTTTAAATAAGGAATAACTCAACATGGAACAAAAATATTTTTTTTCCTACATGTTGGCAACATTTCCCATCTTATTTTTTAAAAAAAATTAACAGAAAAAAGTTTAGTAAACCATTACATATTTTGGCAAAGAATTCTATATTAAACGCAAATTTTTATTTAAGTTGTTATATGGGTAATGGCAATATTTGAAAAAATATATTAAGAAATATACAATTACATACTAAGTTATAAAGAACTAATATAGAGATTCCAATCAAAATAAATTTCACAAAAGATATTATAAATTTTGCCATTCATTACAAGACAATGTAAATATTTCTACTATTTGATAATCTGTTGTGATATAAAACATAAATAAGAAAGGAATTAGTTGTTATCATGTACATCTACAATATAATATATATATATTTATAATATCATATGTATGTATATATTTCTATATTAGTATTATTATCATATAAATTAGTTCTACAATTAAATTTATAGATGTCTAAATAAGATATCATCTCTTTATATTTGTATATATATAGATATCTAATATGATATGTACGAAACAATATTTTTGATATTAAATAAACAGTTTATTTTTTATTATAATAATATTATTATTTTATATTAATATTTATTTACGATTTGAAATCCACACTGCTTGTTAATTTTTTCACCAATCATATAATCGCACTTGTTTTGTAAAACATATGATCCGTATTTTAACTGCATCGCACTTTTATATCCGTTTTTTTACAAAATATGATTACCATTCGGAAAATCATAGTGTTGTGGATTGTCACTATATACAGATACAAAGTCTTTCTCTTTTCACTACGCTCGTGTCATGTTAAAAGAACGGATCGATACGCAAATCTTTATTAGTTCTAGTGCAATTTCATATATCTCTTTATTTTGGGTTACTGTTATGGATGGTGAATATATAAGGGTGTTTAATGTTCATCAACACTCATCTATTAATTATTGTTCTAGGTGATCAAATAGACCAAAAGAAACCCACCAAATTAGCATCTTGTAATGTAGATTATTAATTTTGTTGTTTTTCCAAATTAATGATTCTCTCGTGTTATCTAATTTTTTTTTTTTAACTGCAAATTGGTATTCATATAGAATAAAGATAATCATGATACAGAGAATTGGTTATCTAAGATGGAGGATAAACAGTTCCAGAAAGGAAAGGAACATGTAGAGGTCCTTTTTGTGCTAAAGTATGAGCTACGGTATTACAATCTCGTTTTACATGAGTAATTTGGAAGAAATGAAACTTTAAAACCCAAGATCTAATTTCATCTAATAAATTAGCTATGGTAACATCGGTGTCATTATTTCGGATTAAGGTTGTTAACTAGAGACAATCTCCTTCAAAAATAACAGAGTCGTAACCCATAATCTAAGAATGTTGAATGGCGACTAGTAATGATTTTGCTTCAGCTTCAAGGCACGAACTCGTATAATCCAACATTGTAGCTCCCCAGTATTTGTTGTTGGCGTTGCTGTCTCGAAGAATCCATCCAGCAGAAGCATGAGTGGTATGAAGCAGCATCGTAATTACATTTTATGTAACCGATGGGTGGTCGTGACCATGTTTGCAGAGAAGGTGAGGTAACTCCACGACGTAGATGTGGTGTAGTCGTGTTGTTGATCCAGACATTCACATCCGCTATAGCTTTGTTAACATCTTTGCCAATTATAATATTCTTCTGTTGAAAAATGAGATTATTTCTTGACTTCCATATGCGCCAAAGAATCCAAAGGGAAGTAACTTGTCCTTTAGATCTAATCCATCAATTGCTTGGGCATCAAGGAGGAGTCGTATAATGCTTTCCGTATCCTGTGAGATATTAGTCAAAAAAAAAGGTGTGTTGGCCCTTCTCCATGTTGATATAGAGATGGGGCATTCGAAAAAAAAGTGGGTTATTGTTTCTGGTGCGGTTCCGCAGCGAATACAAGTGGTGGGGATCGCAACTCCACGACTTTGGAGTCTAGTAGCAGTTCCAATAGCTTTTGAGAGGATTCGCCATAAGAAATATTTGAGTTTAGGCATTATTTGGAGTTTCCATATTCGAATTTTTAGATGGGGATCACCATGTGGTATGGGAGGAACTGTGATATGAGAATCTGGCTGGTGCCGGAGTAACCAATACCCCGATTTTACAGTGTATTCTCCATTTTTTGTATAGTTCCAATATATACGATCTTCACTATTACCTTGTCGTAAAAATATTTTTTTTGAAGTCCAATATCTGTTGCCGATAGATAATTAGTTAAAGCGGACATGTTCCAACATTTAGTGAAATCAATGGTAAGTAAGTCTTTCACCAATAAGTTGGGTGTCAGTACGCCTCCTTCAGTAGGTTTTGGTGGATTAGAGGGAAGCCAGTTGTGTTGGAAAACTTTTGTTTGGTTACCATTACTTAATTAATGTTAGTAATATTACTCTAATATAGTTATCACTTATCATACATGTACAGTCACCAAAACATTTGCTACAATTACTTTAGAATAAATTTGTTGCTAAAAAACTCTCTTAATATATATAATTTTATATTTTGAGTGGATTGTATTTGTATGTGAACCCAAATGTGTCGTCTATTGTTGTATATATCCTATGCTCTAAGAAACCGGACTAAATGTGTCGAATTAGATATGCTACTGGATGCATGGTTTAGTCTAACTGGATCGGTTAAACCAGAGACTTTTATAAAATGGAAATTAAAGTTATTTTCCCTCTAATTTATTATATCATGAAATAAATGCCTATGGTACATTGATGTTACCAAATTTCGACATCCTTAATTTTAATTTTTAAACAACATGAACCGGTGAACCATGAATGATAACGGTTGAACCAACCTGGTTCTGCAAAACCACGTGCTTAGTGTGACACAAGTGGTTTTCGGTAAACTGGGACCCACATTTCTCCGTTTTTCGTCTTCGTCTCTCAGATCTACCAAATAATCAATCACTATCTTCTTCATATTCATTTTCCCCAACTTTCTATTTCTTTGACGAAACTTAAACTCTTATCTCCTGTACTTCTCAAATCACTCTTCAATGGCGGTTTCTTCTCCTTCGTCGTCGTCTATCTGTTTCAACACTACTCGATTGCCTTCATCTCGACCGATTTCTTCTCCGTCGCGTCTCTTCCCAGTCACCAGCATCTCCCCTCGCTCTCTACTTCTCAACGATAGACGATCGCTCTTATCTTCCTCTGGTTCTCGCCTCCGATTCTCTGCTCTCTGCGTACGTGATTCTAAAGGTACATATACTGATGATCTTGATCTTCACCTACTTCTGTCGTTCCTCGAATTTCTTTTACAGGTTTACGAATCATAAATATTAGTGTGATTCTTTAAGTAGAAATCGGGAAATTTATTCACTCGAGTGCTCATTGGAATCTGTTATCTTCAAATCTTTGATCAATATGGTGTTTGCTTGACTTAGACTTTACTTTTTTGGTAACAAGCTCTGAAGTTATAGTGTTCATTGAAACTTTATAGTACTTCCCTTGTCTCCTATAGCATACTATTTTCGTTTTCTTGATCTAGATCATCAATGTAGATCAAAAGCTTGAAATATTAATGTTGATCTAGTTCGAAATCTGTGAACGTAAGAATTATCTGCAAGGGCGAGAGAGACACTGAGACAGCGAGAGGGATTGAATAAGAACACTGTGAAGATCTTGCAGGTTGAGATTATATAAAGATACTCAAAAGCTTGTAGGAACTAGGATAGCTATTAATCTCTAGCCATTTCATTTGGTGAATCAGCAAAATATGTATAACTGTTTTCTTTTACTTGATCTAGATCGTATATGTAGATCTAGCTAGTTCTCTTATTGTTGATCTGTGAACTTGGACACATATGCAATGGAGAGAGAGAGAGAGGAGAGAGCTACTCAAAAGCTTGTATGAACTAGGATGTCTCTAGCCATAAATCAGCAGAATTGGTATACGTTTCCAAGTTCTTTGGATACCTAATCTTTTATCTTCCAGCTAGATGGAATATCATAGACCATTACTCTGATGCTCATAAATCAGTCGTTACACTTGGCTTACACTCATTTCTTCCACAGCTTAACAAAAAATGTTGAAGCTTAGGTTGACATGTTGAAGTATTAGTCAGCATTATTCAGTTACACTGCTTATATAGTTCTTTGCAGATAGTCTTCCTCTTGTTGTTTTAAAATCCAGAGGTTGAGATTATAGAAAGCTACTCAAAAGCTTGTAGGATAGCTATTGATGTCTAGCCATTTAGTTTGGTGGATCAGCAGGTATAACGTGTAGTTCCAACTGCTTTTGACACCCAATCTCTTATCTTTCAGTTTCAGCTAGATGGAATATCATTATCTCATACTATTACTCTGGTGCTCATAAATCTCTTTTCTTAAACTTGACATATACTATTTTCTTCTGGTTTTATGACTTGATACAACTCTAGTCTACTTCCACAGTTTAGCAAAAAAAAACCAACAGGAATATAAATGTAGTTGCTTAGGTTGACATGTTGAAGAATTTGAAAGAGTATGCTTATAGTTCTTTGTGATGGTTTTCCTCTTGTTGTTTCTACTATTAGTATGAAATGAAGAATGTTAAGTTTTGAAATTCTCATGTCCTTTTTTTTTCCTACCTGTTTGACTATGTGCAGCAGCTGAAGTTACAGAAAGGTCGTGGGAAAGCTCGGTCCTGAAAAGCGAAACGCCGGTGCTAGTCGAATTCTACACGAGCTGGTGCGGTCCATGCAGGATGGTCCACAGGATAATAGACGAAATTGCTGGGGGCTATGCTGGGAAACTAAACTGCTACGTCCTGAACGCAGACAGTGACCCGTTGGTAGCTGAAGAGTATGAGATTAAGGCTGTACCAGTAGTTATGCTCTTCAAGAACGGGGAGAAACGAGAGTCCATCGTGGGTACAATGCCCAAAGAGTTCTACATTTCCGCCATTGAAAGAGTCTTGAACTCGTGAAGAAGGTAACATCACTATTGATGAGAACTCTCTCAGTAGTACTTTGATCAAGATATTGTTGGGAGATTTAAAACACGCTTCACTGAGACATAAGGAAGACTCTGAACCTCTTATGTTTTCTTTCTTTTAGACTCTGTGAATATAACTGTTGGATTTGCGAAAAAAATGACTCAGGGGTTATTGTGAATACATATTTCTTCCTTCTTCAGTGATCTAAGTTTCTTCCGTTTCGATTTGCATCTAGATAACATGCAGGACAAAAATAAACGTATTTTTCGGTTAATGCCAAATAATTTAGACATAAGTGTGTGAGTTTTGGATTGGTTTTCCTATAGTTTATTTGTTTATACTTAGTTCTTGAAAACTAATGATCGAACTAATATGGGTCTGTCTATATTTGTGTGTATTTATGCTTCATTTCGTCTTAACTTCGATTCATAGTCTCATGTACAGCTAATTGTGAACGCGATTTCACTTACCACGACGAACAAACTATAGAGGAAAACTCTGAACCGAATTATACAAACCACTTAGTGTTTTCAACATGGTCCGTGACAGGCCAGATTTGAACAAAATTCGTAGGCATCGTAGTTTTGATTTCAACGCTTCTACGACTATTTCGTTTAGGATCATAGTAATAAACTTTTAATGGGAACTCAAACATATATGTTTGATGGACTATAAAGATTTCACCACCGGGATGAATAATATCCGAGAATCTGATAGAACTTCGTAATGGAATATCTTGAAGCATGGAAGGAAATGTAATCTTCGACCACTCTTGTTTCTTGGCATCCTCCATAACCCACAAAACTACATCATCGCTGAGCTCGTCCCAACACATGCATCCTAACTTCCCTTGATAGTTTACAAGACTCGAATAATCTCCCCTAATGTCAGCAACCACTTTATTAGGAGCCCCCCGAAAGTGAGCCGTCAGTTTTTCAGGAGCCTCGAGGTTATTAAATTCCTCGGACCTAACATCGAAACTCGCAAAAAATTTCCGATTGCTTCTACATGCTTTGATATGCTCAAATTAACCCTTAGAGCTACTCTCTCAAATTAAGAGATCACGGTAGTACTTAGGGATCGAATCCACAAGGACTTGAGACTATTACTCAACAGATTTTAGATTCAAATAATGCTAAACAGTAGATGATAAAATAAAACTAAATATTTGCGAAGTCAATGAGATCAGGATGGTTGTTGGTTCTTAAAATCAATAGAGACAAGCGCTAGGCAATAAAAAATTCGCAGGTTGACATAAATCGCAGACCACAGACTGAAAGAAATATTTATTAAAACCGTTCTATAACTCGAAACACTAGTGTAAAACCAATCGACTTCCATCGCAGAGATTAACTATGATCAGATTTCAGAATTCCAAATTCCTTTACAAACTCTAACAACCTAAACATGCATTATAGATCAGGTTCGATAAGTTCACAAAACCACTAATCCAAATTCCTTTGCAACTAGTTATTTTGCTCATCTAAGATAGTTCTGGTGATTAATAATGTTTCCACATCTATTAAACAACCTAAGATCTGATTTCTAGGTGATCAATCTTAAAACCAGTATTAAAGCAATCAAGATGAAGAACCAAATGATTTATCCTTCCAGTTTTGTAGTTCTAACAATTCATTATCAACCTTTGAATAACCCAAAACCTAACTAGCAGATTACTCAGACATAGCAGGTGAAACACAAATCATGACTGAATAATATTGCATTAAGAAAATAGAGTAAAAGATTAAAGGGGTTCGAAATTCTTCTCTACAGAGTATGGATTTGTCTCCCCAAAAGCTCTCAATCTAATCTCTCTCTTTGTCTCAATAATTCTCAGAATATCTGCCTAACAATGGCTTAGAAAACCTAAATACAAGTCTAAACACGAACTGGGGCAAAAGTGCAAATAGTGGGAAACTTCTGGGCCAAGTTGCAATTTCTTCTAATGAGATTTAACGCTTCTTCGCAACCACGATCGGTGTCGATCGACACCAAGAGGTGGGTGTCAATCGACACCTTGCTCTTTAATGCCCTCCGACTTGGTCTTTTAAGCAACAGCTTCAGTATAGCTCCAAAAGGTTCCAGAATCCACAATTATGCTCCATTCGTACCTAAACCTGCAAAGACTCTATAGGACTCGAAAAATACCAAAAAAACTCTATAAACAGGACTTATATCATGGTCAAAAACCAGCAAAAACCATGATATATCAACTCCCCCAGACTTAGCTTTGCTTGTCCTCAAGCAAACAGAAAGCTAAATACATAGTCGAGGTTTGACAACAAGAAACAGTCAGTCAGTCATCAAGAACACCACACTAGTTAGAGCTTTCGAATCCACATACCACAGAGTCAACACAAGATCAAATTTCAGTCTAATCATCACAAGCTTAGCAGATCTCTCAAGTCCAGTCCAAATCCCTTCAAGAAATCCGAAATTTCTACTGCTAACTCCTTATTTTTATCTAAGTGTGATATCTCATCAAGGCTCTATCATCTCAATCACTTTACAGATTCTTTTCCCTTCCTAAACATCTGAACAAAGCAATCTCAACACAGCTCTCCTATTTTCTCTTCCCTTGATCTTTTCCTTTGGATATTTTCGATTTTCACTTCTTTTTCTCAACTTTTACAGTCTGAGATATGGTGCTACTCAATATTTGTGTTCCTTGTGAGGAGACAGGTTCTTGAGTGTGTTCACTACTGTTGTTCCTTGTGAGGAGACAGGGTCATGAATGCACCATTCTTTAGACTTAAACTTTTAAAAACTACATCAGGGAAGATCAAAGAGAGACTGTATTTTAACCTTATTGTCAGTGTTGAAAGAGAGAATCAAGATCAATAAGAATCAATTACCAAGACAAAAAGTTTAAAGTTCATTAAGGTGGAGCTAACAGCAAATTTTCCAGATTCTCTAAGAACCTAAACCTTCATTGCTAGACTGATCTACCTATGAGTTTCAACTTAGTGAGACTTGTAATCAACTACTGTGGCAATGGTTCTTATCAGCAAAAACGTCCTATGGTTAGTTCCAAGAAAAAACTGACAGTTTCAAAAATTTTGACTCAACAAAACAGGTTTTGACTCAACTTTGAGACTCTAAAAATACAAAACACTGTAAACAATGTCAGCAACGACCTCCCCCAGACTTAAACGACACTGTCCCCAGTGTTATTAAGCAAGGAGTTGGTAGAAAGAGGTAATGAAACGGTTTGTACATAGATGAGAAAGTGGTACCTGTGATTGCGCGTGGTGTGGATCGACACCGAATGGTTGGTGTCGATCGACACCCTGTCCGAAAACAGAATGGGATGACCCAAACATGTATACTTGTTGCAAGTTAGATTGTTAGCTGATGTTCTCCAAAGTCAGGACTGTTAAGAACACTCAAGCAAACAATTAAAAGCAACAACATAATCCATAATCTCATCAGTTCAAACAGATTTCAAAACCAAATACCAAGCTGACAAACTGACTCAAAACAAAGACACAAAAACTGACTCAACAGAAAATGAAAAAGAACAAAGGGAAAAGGAAAAGTAACCAGGTAGCATAGAGGAACTAGTCCTCATCCTCAGTATCAGGTGAATGGGGGCGCACACAACCGCAGTTGGAGAGCACCGAGACAGCGTTCCACAATGCCTGAAATACTCTGCACCATGTAGCGCTGAAAAGTGGCCTGCTCCATCGGAATCTCAGGGGTCGGTGGAAGTGTATGGCGACCAATCGGTGCAGGCAACATACGTGGTAGTGACGGATGACGAGAGGAACCTCCAGCATGACCCTCAACAGGCGCATCCTCAGCAGCAGAAGCAGCAGCGCGGGAAGATCCTCCTCTACGCCTAGTAGCTGGTGCAGATCGTAGCAGTGTAGCATCGGGCTGGAAGCTGAGGGAGTCCGTCCGCAGTGTAGTGAGAGCAGTCTGAGGTAACGGAATGAGGCATCGCTGACCAGTGTGACTAACGAAGCTCCAAAGTGGCTCATCTCCTGCGATCCAATGTGTCCTCCTCAAATAATCCAAGTCAATCAGGTGGCGCTCAAACACAACTCTGCAAGTCGAAGTGTCAATGCGGAAATGGCGGAAGATGGGGGTGAGGAGACTGCCAATACTCTCGGGCTTGCCCCGAGCTCCAGTGAACGCCTTGGCCTTCCGCGAAGCCAAGTGATGGGCAAAAATGGCCCCCATGTTGACATCGCTGTCAACTGGGTACTCCTCTGTCAGAACATCCTCAATGCCGTAATATAGGAGAGTCAGCTCAGAAACTCTCATCTTCCCTGGCTCAGACTTGCACAGGAGAGTAGTGGAGAAAAGGCGGACCAGGTAGCGCAGCAGCGGGTGGTGCACATCAGTCTGAGTAGACCGCTTGGAGTCATAAACTCCATTCCCGAAATGGGACCAGTAGCTCTGCAGGTCAGGAAACGGCGTCGGGAGGGAGACGTCGGTGCGCTCTGGATCGAACCTGAAGATGGTACAGAGCTCAGGAAATGTGATCCTGTATCTGACGCCTCTGATGAGGAATGTGAGAGTGCCCTCATCTGCTCTCCTCACGATGTCATTGGTGTAATACACCCTCGCTGTGGCAATGAACTGGCGGACTAGCTCAGGGTATAGATCGTATTGCTTGGTCGCCATGGTACCCAAGCCAATCTTCTGCAGCACGCGCAGAGCCTCCTCAATGAGCCCGAGGCGGCACAATGTAGCCTCATCTGCGAACCGTGTCGGCGCAAAGTCCATCTTGAGCCACGCGTTGTAGAACAACGTGTCGTAGTCATCCCACTCTTCGCTGATGTCGCGGAAGATGCAATCGCGCTTTGCGACTTCCTTCGCCGGAGTATCCTCCCAAGCTCTCTCCATTGGGATCCTCAACCCTTCTCTCCGAGGCCATGGAGGAATTGCTGGTATAGCAGGTGCGGGGTTGGAGGATTCTCCGGTCTCCGTGCGTGATCGTTTGCTGTTTCGTGGAGCCATCTGCACGCAGAAAACCAAGGACACCGAAAAAAAAATCCCAAAATCAGGCCAAAAATCGAAATTTCAAAAAGTCAAATTCTGGCTTAATTCATCAATGGCGAATCTAACCAACAACTTAGTGATCACTAATCACAAACAATTCCAGTCTAAAACCCCAAATTCGAACCTAGTTTTGCAAAATTCTTCATCAATCCGAAAATTTCTAAATTTTGCAAAACAAGTGATTCTGATGAAAGGGCAAGGCCTAATTCTTCCTAAACAACCTAGAGGAGCATGATTCAAGTCCTAAATCAAGTTAAAACAGGCCAAATCAGAAGTTTCAAACCTTGGGGTTGAACTGAAAAAGTGGGATTTCGAGTGTCATACCTTGCAGATCGAATGAGTGAGTTATATATTCAGAATCAACACGAAATTCTG